CAGAAATAAGTCAAAACAAACACAAAGCAATCTTCTAAAATAAAAATAAAATACTAGGATAAATATAATTACTTACATTTGCAATTATGTTTAATAACCCTTTGATGGCTGAGATTATTTTTGCCTTTGTGGCCAGAATGTTTCCAGTCAGGAGGTTTAAATACATTTTTTTTGTCAATTGATTGTTGTCGAATTACAGTATTTATTATTGCTTTAAAGAACACGTCTACCAAATACTAATATGGCTATGGACAGTTCAGTGAGGACCTCTGCCCACTCATTTTGTTTTTGGTAGTGGCTCTATGAAAGAGTTTTGTTCATAACTGCATACATTGGTCTGGCATCTATCAATCTCCTCCCTGTGTTGTTCCCAAATGATCAGTCTTCATGCAAGATTTTCCAATACCAAGACAGGCAGACAGAGCAGAAATAGCAGGGGAACTTCTTAGAAGAGTAACTAAAGAGTACAGTCGCAAGTACTATTATAATCTTATTTATACATAACTTCCAGGAATAATATGGAACATTAAATTTAACCCTTTTATTAACTCCCTTAATATTATTTTTAAATAGAATTCTTGCATTATAGACCATGCAATCCATACACTTCACTCTATACATATGATTAAAAAATTACCATAAAGCACAGCACAGCTATAATAGTAATGAAAAAAAGTTACTTCTTTGCTGACATTCTTTTGCTTTGGTTGAGCAGCTAATTAAGTCTACAGTTCATGGAAAAAGTGAATCAATGGGCTGTAATTATTGCAATTCAGCAACATAAAAGAGGAAAACAAAGGGTGAAAATTGTAATACATTGATGTGGCACCACTAGCTAAACTGAGATGTGGGCACCCCATTGAGTTATCCGTGTGTCTGTTACAGACTTGTTAAAATGGTAATGATCGTAGACTAGACTGGGGAGCACCTGTCAGCATTATGTTGTTCAAGTTAACCCCAAATGTCATGTTTTCCTTTTTAAGCTAAACAACGAACTGCCAGAAGAGAAAACTGATGTTAAAGGAGCCAAGTGTCTAGCTAAATCTTAGGAAACCTGTTGCTCTCCTGTTAAAAAGTTACAGAGCTAGAAGTTGCAGGAGACACTATACCATCTATGAGATCAAATGATAGTCACATTCCTTATAAGCGTATTGTGCATCTTGCTTTAGTTGACAACACAAAGGTACAACACAGAAAATGATGCAGACATTTAAACAGCAACTCCAGCTTCAGATGTTTCTCTCCTTGTACATGCCTTGAAGAAATACACGGAGCCGTGTCAGAATAGAAATTTTTTTTTAAAATGTTGCCGATAGGAATGAATTGCTAGATTCCTATTGGCTATTTCAATTTGCAATAGCCAATAGTAAACTAGCATTGCACTCTCCCTCTGCTGATGGACCTGATGGAGAACTGCAGCAGAGGGCGGGTCAGAATAAAGAAAAAAAAAGAAAAAGCAGTGTATCTCTCCTTGGCGGCCCGGGAGCGGGAGACTCCCGGAGCGCCAGGGAGAGTTTGCTGTCTGGAGATCAGTGTCCCTGGTTAGCTGGTAACCAGGGACACTGATCTCTCTGCAAGTGACCGGAGCCAGCCGTAAGATCACGGCTGGCTCTGCCCAGCTGCCAGAAGCAGGCTGTCGAGCGGCCAATGGCCGGCCGCTTGGCCAGCTTTGGCTTTCAGCGCGGCTCAGCCGAGCCGAGGCATATGCCTTCGGCTCGACTGAGCCGCTCGGCTAAGTTCTGGAGCTGTACGGGCTATTGTGAATAGCCTGTACAGCAGCATTTCGTTTCTACTGAACCGAAGGGGTCCTGGGGCCGAAGCTAGCCGAAGGATCGGCCGAAGCTACGGATAGATCCTTCGGCTGCTTCGTGAATAGACCCCTATGTTTAAAACCCGGGTAGTGAGGGCACACATCACAGCTGTATGATGTGTGTGTGACATTCTACTTTGCTATCAGGTCGGAGCTAGATGGAAAAATGACGAACTGTGGAAGGCAAGCAACCACCGCATTGGGTGGTTTCATTGATAAAAAGAGGTGGGAAGGCATAGATAGTGCAGGAAGGTGTGTACTGGGGCTAAATATGTTTTTGTGTTCCTGGATTTCGGACTTTACGATACCTATGTGCAGGAACAAACTGCCATTGGTTTGAAGAATTTCCACACAGCAGTATGAATCAGGCCATGTTTGGTCACACATATGATCACAATGGTCAAGTGCCTACCTTTAAGAAATCAGGCAGATGAGTTTAAGACTGCTTGACCATTCCTGTTGTTAAAATTCAGCATAAATATGTTGATGGAACCCATGCTTTTATGGGGAATGATTCCAACTTAACTATCCAGTTTAGATGGAAAGACCAAGAGTCATTATACTGCATATGATACTTTTACCCACTAAGTATAGTTACACTGTCTGGGGATGGAGATGAGTGACACTGATAGCTTTTTTTTGTCATTGTATGGGCTTCCCCCTTAAAATCCATACTAGACCCCTATTTTGAATAAGAGTCTGGTATGGATTTTGGAGGAGCCACATGTTGTTGTTTTTATAGATTTACCATTTTATTATTTAGACTGGGGTACCTCAAGATTTTGCATACTTGTATGGGATAACATGACAACAGATTGAGAAACGCTGCATTAAACAGATCCCACCATGTATTTCTGTTGAGTATTTAGCAATTTACTTGCAGTCCCTCTTTAATTTTGACAAAACCAGGTTTTACTAGAGGCCATATGATGCCCATAGTGTCTTTTCTATGTGTAAACCATTTGATGCATATTGTTAGAATACACATTGTGTCTATTGCATCAACTACTGCAATATATAATTTCTGTCACTAGATGGCAATGTTTATAAGTTCTGTTATATCTATGGTAGATTCTCTGTTGTATTGAATAAGGTAGATAATAAAGCTGTGGCTTCCTGCCTGTGTTTTTCAAGCCATGTGCAGCATGCATATCTGACTTTGTGCTTTTGTTTCTCTGTGAGGCTGTGCAAATAGTTCCAACACATATTGACTGCAATCCCTTAAAAACTTATTTCCTCATTTGTCCAAATATCTCATTTGTTTTCCAAAAGGAAATCCAATCACTACTTTTTTATGTGCTACCAAAGTGTTATTTTAATGATGATACTAAATTTATATAAGTTGCAGTATCGAGAATCAACAGATTACACTTTTTTCAGGAGGTTTATTTAGGATAAAATTAGCACAAAAACACAAGTAGTCAAAACATTTACGACTGTCCAGCAATTTGGAAAACAGTCGCAATGCTTAACTGACGCAATGCTTAACTGAACAGCAATATTCTATCACATTTATTTTAAAAAATATTCTTTAAAATTTTTAAAATACAATTGAATATATTTTTTAATGTCGGTGAATATTTGTTAAATGTTGATATAATTGACACTCAGAAAAAGACGGGTAGACAAAACAGCTTAAAAGTCTAAATAATTCTCAAAGCTGCAATAATATAACAGAAGTTAAGCAAAATGACTACAAAGTTATATTGCTGATGGATAGTATTAGGTAAAGATTTTAGGCAGGGCCTCAAATTTAATTTAAACAATTACATTAGCCTTTCAAAAACTCCCCAAGGAAATCAGTTTAAATGCTGTCTTTGTCTTCTGTCCCCATCCCCAGTCCCTTCCCCCACAAAGTACACATACACTCACAAAAAAGCTGCCAAGCATCCTCCTCTTTGTGACATGCAGCATGAATCCAGGACAAAAAACATATGCTAGTGAACAGCATGCATAATATTAGGCAGCAGTGCACCGTTGCCCTCATTGGCTTCATGGCATGGTCGTACCAACACTCGAGCTGGAGCTGTTATTGTTCATCACATTCTGATTTGGAATCCCGAGGGTATACTTTCTAGTTAACTTTTTTTTCTCAGAAAAATAAACCCGCCTTTATTGATTGAAAGACTCCGTTTTTTAGGCATTTTGTGTAACTTATTTATTAATATGCAAGCTCAGAAATGTTATGGAATGTATTGGAAATTCTAACCTAAGACACTGTAAATGTTTTAGAGCAGAAATAAACAGGCAGCAACAAGTATAGAAAACAGAGCTAGAGGTTTCTATATGACATACAGTTGAAATTGAAACATTATGATTTTGAGAGCTTATATGTAATACAATTATTAGAAAATATACTAAAAATGATTATATACATGCCTATGATTTCATCTAGCATAAAATCAGGCTTAATGACTGGAGGGCTGGGGGGTCTAAAGCACCCGAGCCCAGCAATCTGGTGGAGTCTGGGCTGACACTGGGTAATGTGGGTCCATAGAGTGTGCCAGTGTGGTGGAGCACTGGAATAAACACCTCTGATTTTCTCACTATGGCGCCACAATTGTAGTGGCCTGAACAGTCTGCATGTCTAATATTTGATAAAACAAAAATTAGGCTTGACAAGAGAAGATTAGAGCACCAGGGCTGAGCAATGTTAGGGCTGGGCTGGTGCTATGTAACCTGGGCCCATATAGCATGTCAACTTACTAGCTCAGTAGTGGTCAGTATATTGAAGTATTGGCATAGGCAGCTCTAGTTCTGTCACTTAGAGGGATTTCAAAGAACATACTAAAACATGTCTGCAATCCTTCTTTGGCTGTTGCTTTTTTGAGGGAGCATGTCTACTAGTACTAAGACAAGGCAGACTAGTAAACTATTTACCACACTCTGTGCTGGCTGGTTTTGACTACTCTAAACTGATGAAAGGTGGCACTTGATTGGTTTCTATCTGTTATTGCTCTTTACATTACCTCAATAAATCATCCTGCTGTTGCAAAGTTAATGCTTTTAAGTTTCACAGTATGTAGCCTCATTGGATTCTTGTGACCGATGTGCAATTTAGCTTATATTTTATACACCATGAAAATTATAATAGGGTAATTTATATGGTTATTGCAAGTTATAATACGAAATATTAACTTGCAACACCATTGTCATGCATTTATATATAGTGTAGTTTGATCTCACTTACCTTGGCCTTACACATTTTTAACTCCAAAGCTTTGAAATCCATATGGTCAATTAATGTTCTCATGAAAGAGCTGGAAAACATTTGTTAAAAAGAAAGAATTACTAATTAGCTTTAGGGTTCATACAGTAATTTTCTTTCCCAAAACTGCAGTTTTCAATATTGATTACCTTAGTGGCTTAATGGCAATTTATCAGCCAATCCGAGAGATAGGTGACTGACTACTTATCAGAATGCATATCAACTTTCCCAGCTAAGGAAAGGAGAGAGACTGACATATTACCAAGACTGCCATAAAAGAGACTGGCTTGTCAGCATGTTTTGTTAGATTGCTATGTTATAATAAGACTACCATGTGGATGACTACCCTGTTAGAAAGAGACTACCAAGACTACATAGTCAATGTATTGGTAGCCCAGTGTGTCTCATGGCCAGCAGGATCCATGTACAACTGACTCCATCCCTGTGAGGTAAAAAAAAGCAGCAAGTAGAAGAGGAGTACAAGGTGGAGGATGAGGGTTGGGGTGCTGGTGGTGAGAAGGAGGACATGGGATACATTTGACTACTCCCAAACCCTGAGAGTTGTACATGGATAGGGAGAGATCCTTGAGGACAATGTTGTCCTCAGCAACACCAAGAACTTCTCTTCTGCAGGCTGTTTGTGGTGCATGGGCTCATTAATGCTGATATGCCTGTGAAAGGACCCGATGATCTAGGTCATTAAGGAGACCATTGTTGATCGACCACCTTTTTGAATTCCCAATACAAGGAGAAAATGGCAGATCTCATGCTGCCATCCCAGAGGGAGCAAAAAATGTGCCAATTGGAAGAGGTGCAGAAGAACCTCTTGTCCTCCTTTCCAGAAAGGGGCAGAATCCCCTTTCATGGCCAAGATATCTCTGATGCTCTAAAAGTAGCAGGTCCCATAAAGAAGCAGTGGTGGCAGTAGCTGTCTTAGTGATACTTTACAGTTCTTTTTTAGAAACACAAACCAGGCTTATCTTCTGGCAGAAGTCACTGGCAGCTCTTAAACCAAATGATCTTAGATTACCGGGGGTCCAGGGCAAATGTTGACAACCCCATGGACTTTTGCGTGCCCAGGCTGGACTGCTAGCCAGAGTTTTCATTTTCTGTTTACTGTGCTGCACAGTAACATAACAAAAGCAATAGAGGTGCAAAGTAGAGAGAAAATACAAACTCAACAAGTGTTCCGATATTAATATAAACACTTTACTCTCAAATTTGACTAGAGGAAATTAAATGTTATTGCAAAGTTATGTTTGCAAGACATCACTGTCAATTTGTATTTCATTTTAATATATATTATTTGTATTGCCAATTAAACTATAATTAGTATAGTTATTTTTAATGTCTAACCACAAAGATCATGAAAATCATTGCAAATGTAGGCATTATTATTTTTTGAGTTTTGTTCCTATTTATTTTCTCAATGGTATCCACATATGCTAACTTCTGTTATGGGTAAAGTGTCAAAGGCAAAGGACCTTTTGAATACATTTGGTTTTCAGTCAATAAACAATGGCAGTTATTATTTTTGTATTATTTACATTTTGAATTATGTTTTAATTTAGCATTTATACTCATCTTGGATTGAAATATAATGATTTAATTAGAAGAGATTCTTTAAACAAAACAAAGGATTCACTGATCAGTTGAGACTGACCAGATGCATAACACTGCAAGACAAAATATGACTTTGTGGGGTCACAAATGAGAAAGGCTGATTAACTACTTCCTTAATTTTAGATTTATGCTGATGGTAAACTGTGATATGCTTGTGCCTTGCTGTCTTCTCCGTATAACAGAAAGATGGATTATTTTAACAGAAACATTCCTCTTTTTATAGGATAAAATAATTAGCAGAGGATGGGTGTAGGTTATATTAGGTCTGTTTTTTTGTTGATTTGTGGCAAGCATCTGCAAAATTTATTTTTTTAATCTTGATAAAACAAAGTACATCCTCTATGTATTGCTACTGCTGCTTTAGTTACAGATCTCCCCTAACACCATATACTGGAGCTAATTTTTTTAACCATTGAGCAAAATGAGGCAGTTAGCCCATAGAAACCAATTAGCTTTTATCTGAAAGTACTGAAGCCAAAACTTTTTGGGGCTTCAGTTAAACTCTAAATTCTACGGAAAATGAGACATCAGATTGGCTGCTATAAACTTTGCTGCAATATTTTAAGAAACTGTATTTGCATATTCTTGATTTGATCAGCTCATAGCCCAGTTACTTTTCTTTATTAAAGAAGACCTAGCATTATGATCACATAAAACTACCTGTATATTATGTAGGGCTGTCCACAGGTAAATCACCGCCTGAGGCGATGTCATTCAGGGGGGTGCTGTTAGAGAATAATCAGTGTT